TGCTTCCTTTATTTGTATTCCCAGAACTTAGTATCAACTCTGGTAGATAATAAATACATAATACATGCTTGTTGACTTCCCACATACATATACACATAAATACATTTGTTTTTTTGCCAGAGTAGGGAACTCCTGGTGAGGAAACCATCTCCACCAATGCAGATTGGCAGCTACCGTTCACTTCATGGTCTCAGACTTACCTGGAGCATCTCGAGGTTGTGACTTATCCAGAGTCATCAGCCAGTATGCGTCAGAGGTGAGACTTGAACGCAGGGCTTCTTGGCTCTGAGGCCAACTTTCTATCCACTCCTTCATCCTACTTCTTCTTATCTTAATACTTTGATAATGTTAATTATAACTAATAATAATGATTCTAAGTCAAATTATAAGGATTTCAAAGAATCCAGGCCCAAAGGAAGTATAGTTTCCAAGAGTTCATTAGTTCAATATTCAACAGGGAATCTCTTTATTGTTGGTGACTATTAGCAAAATATGTCTTTAAGCAGGAAGCAATGACAGATTTCTTTTGCATTTGACAAGACTTGTTTAACAGAAAAAGCAGAAGAAATCTTAACGAAGACAAAAAAACTCTACAGGATTCTGACATTTGTGAAGGTTCTACCTGAGGAAGAGAGGTCCCCTAAGAATGTGGTGTTGCCAAATGTATGTGTGTGTGTGTGTGTGTGTGTGTGTATGAATGTGTTTATGTATATATGTGTGTATATATGTATATATGCATATATGTATTTAGGCTTTTTGCTCATTTATCCAATATATCTGCAGGAATGACAGCTTCCCAGGAAGCATGAGTCACAGAAGACTCTTCCTGCAGGCTCAGGACTTGAAGGCAGGGCTCCTGACCCTATGGAAGCTTTTTAAAGGTCTGGAAAGGAAAAGTGGAGGAGAGAGTAGACAGACAGTGTAGTCATAGAACTCTTCCCAGGGGGCTTGGAAGCCTCCTAATAGTCTGAACTGAGTCAGTCCTGGCCCAGGCACATAGCTCCAGTGTGATGTAAGAGAATACAGCAAAGATAGCTCGAATTCCTGACAGAATTGTGGTGAATCTACCACAACAACTCCCCTTGCTGCTGTTATCTGAAGTAATAAGTGACAAGGTTAATCGCTAAAGATCACTTTAACGTTGTGCCTGCTGTTTGCTTTTTCTAATAATGGCTTGATAAAGATCAGATCATTTTAGGGGCATCTGGAGTTTGTGTCTTGCTATAGAAAGCATGGGAGAGGGAAGGAAAACCCAAAGATATTTGATTGAGGCTTTCCCTCATTAGATTGTAAGCTCCTTGAGAGCAGGGACGGTCTTTTGCCTCTTTTTGTATCCCCAGCACTTAGCCGGGTGGTTAATAAATGTTTATTGATTGATTGAAATTCACCTGGCTAGGAGATCAGGATCCTGGTTTAGCAATTGAGAGATTGTGTGGGGGCTCAAGCATCTTAGGAATCATATTTGCAATTTGCATTTTTAATTTATTTTCTTTGTAGAGAAAGAAAGTCAGATGGAATTGGCAAGCACTAATCTCATTGTCTCCAAGCATTCTGGTGGATTTGTGCCAGGACCTTTGTGGTATTTTTTCTCCATCCACTAGGGAGAGGTGTGGAATAAAGACATCAAGAGAAGGTCACTATCTGAACCAGCCACAGTGATCCCTGCTGGGCAACATTTCAATATTTAGGTAATTAAAGAAAACCAAACGTAGAGGTAAATGTCAGGCACAGCATGTGCTTCTTAAGAAAAGAGATGATGGAAATCTGTAAGACAGAAGGGAAAAGAAACCCTTCTATCCAGCTGGTTGTAAAATCACTTCCAGGAGAAAGGTCAGTCAGTCTATAAACATTTATTAAGCACTTACTAGGTGCTAGGCACTGTGCTAAGCTCCTGGAGATACAAAGAAGGGCAAAAAACAGTCCCTGTTCTTGGGAAGTTCACAGTCTAATGTGGGGAGCCAATAAGCAAATTGTGGGAACTGAGTGAACCCCACTGACTCCGTCTCCCCATTCTAGGGCTAGCTCAGTTCCCTTTCTATTCAATGATAGGTCTAGTACAATTTCTGTCTTGTCGGAAAATTTTATTCAATTTTGGGCATTGTGAGAAAACTTTATTGCATTGTTTGAAGCTAGCCCTGGATGGTTGGGAAGCTGGACCACCACTACCTGCTGCTTAGAGACCCTTAACTAAGAACCTAGGTTATGCTGACCAGAGAAATCCAGTCAGATCCAAAGACTGATGCAAGGAGTTTTCTAACAATTGTATGCCTCAAGCAACCCATATGCCTTATCTGAAAACTGGACTTACTGTCTCCTTGTTCCCCTGATTGAGTAGAGCCATTTGGGAGGGATGGGACACCTCTTTAACTGATTTCAGGAAATTGCACCTATTCACTCTCCCCACTCTCAACTCCTGACACTCATTCATCCCTCTCTCAACTCAGCCCCTAATCTTTTCTCCAACTAGAAATCAGATGACCTAATTTTGTATCCTGGTTTATATCCTGTTAATTGTTTTCTTTTCATGCATAAAAATCTATTCGCCCCCATATTTTGGGGTCCACAGTCAAGCTGAGGAGGCCTGGTCCAGATTTGCTATGTTGGCATGCATTGTTTAATAAACTGATATTTTTGGAAGCTCGAACCTTTTTTTCTCAGTTGCTGTTCATCCTTCATTTTCAAAGAGGACCAATGACATCATGGGGTGATGTCTTGATTTGGGGGTGAACTGGATTTAAGTGAGGCAGAGTTTCACAAAGTCATCAGTTATTTCTGGTTTCACCAGTCACACCAAAACAAAACAAAACTGTACAAACATGGTATATGCGGGATAAATTGGAAATAATCTCCGAGGGAAGGTACTAGGATCAGGGGGAATTAGGAAAAGGTTTTCTTTAGAACTCGGCATTTTAACTGTGGCTTGAAGGAAACCAGGAGGAAGAGATGTGGTCACCTTAGTCTTGCGATGCTTTGTCATGGGGTGGAAGTGAGGCTGGGTTCTGTAGGGTTTTGCCAAGGGAGCACATCCTCCAGCAGGTTCGAGGAGCAAGGTTTTGGTTCCAAGCCCTGTATCAGACTGTGAGCCTTTCATCAGAGCTAAGTTCCCAGAGGCTCATCATAGAATGATATTGGCCTCCTTAGTCTTCTCATAGGACACTCCAGCTCCTTATTCCACCGGGTGTTATCCTCTTAATCTTGTTATTGTCTGTTATTGTCTGTCCTTCATTCTCAAAGAGGACCATGACATCAGGAAGATGATGCCATGACTTGCAAGTGAATTAGATTTAAGTGAGGAAGGGCTGTGCAAAGTCACCAGCCTCACTTTCTCCTCCAGAGCCATCTGGGTCCAGTGACGAGATAGAGATCAGGATGACTGGAAATGGCCCTCATCCTCTTAATCTTGGGAGATGCCTGGAATACTTTCCCTCTTACCCTCTTAGAATTCTTTGTTTTCTTCAAGTTCAAAACTCTTGTCTTACACGAGGTCTTTCTGATCCCCCAGCTACTAATGCCTTTCTCTTCCAATTATTTTATATTCATTATGTATCTTTCTTGTGTATGTTTATACGTTTACATCTTGTCTCCTCCAATAGAATGGAGATTCCTTGAGGTTGGGGACTATTTGATTTTTTTTCTTTGTATTCTCAGCACTAAGTGCAGTGCCTGGCATTTAGTAGGTGCTTACTAAATGCTTGTTGACTGACTGATGGATGTATCACATACTCTCATAATGATGCTACATGCATGGTCATAATACATAATCAAATAAGTATAAAACACCGAAAATAGCTAGTGGACCTCCACAGAGGTGATAGAAAGATAGAATTCTAGACGTGGGGTCAGGAAGACCTGAGTTTGCATCCAGTCTCAGACACTTACTAGCTGTGTCACCCTGAGCAAGTCATTTAACATCTCGGTAAATCTGTAAAATGAAAGGTTGAGTTTGATGGCCTCGGAAGTTCTTTTCAGCTCTAAATCTATGATCCTGGAGAGAGGCTATCCTAGGCTAGAAAGACAACGTTGTCTCATTGAGACATTGGACTCCGTTTTGCAGGAGTTCAGGAGTTTGTGAAACCAGTTGGGAGACAGAGAGAGAGAGAGGGAGAAGAAGAAGAAGAAGAAGAAGAAGGAGGAGGAGGAGGAGGAGGAGGAGGAGGAGGAGGAGGAGAAGAAGAAGAAGAAGAAGAGGAAGAAGAAGTTAATGACAACAAGGGGAATGAGGAGGAGAGGAGAGAGTGAGAGACAGAGAGAGAGGTTAGAGGGAGAGAAAGAGACAGAGGAGAGAGAAAAGAGAGGAGAGGGGGTGGGGACAGAGAGAGGAGAGACAGAGACAGAGAGATAGGGAGAGATCACAGATCTAGACAGAAAAAAAGAAACAAAATATGCGCATAGGTAGGTGTGTGTGTGTGTGTGTGCGTGTGTGTATGTGTGTGTGTATGTGTGTTGGATGGAATGCTAAACTTGGATTCTGGAAGACCAGGTATAAAGTTTTCACCTCTCTCTGACACTTACATGTGGTTGGGGCAGCTACCAGTGTTTGAATGCCTTGACAACTTTCTCTGACTTATCTAATGAGTCAGAGGTTTAGTGATACATGGGATGGCTCTGTAGTTGGTGGAAACCTGCCTAGCTATGGTGTAGAAAGTACTTTGGCATCGTTCTCTCGGAGTGAGGCTGGCTACATATCCCCTTCTGGGTTCTAAGGGGACCCCTGAGAGTTTGGGGGTGTCTCTCTTTAAGGCTATTGGTTTGAGCCTCCATTATGTTGTGGTTCTCTCCCCACCCCCACCCCTAGCTGCCACTGACAAGGTTCCAGTTCCTTTTAACTGATTAGCTTTCACAGAGGCATATTTACTTTGAAGCTGCAACAAGAACAGAAGCACAGACATTTCCGCTCCTCCCTCTCCAACACCTGCAGGCCCAGTCTCCCCCCCCCCCCCCCCCCCCCCGTATCACCTTGGTCTCTGGGGACAGCAGGGTCAGACTTCATGCAGTTTTGTCATACTCTTGGTCCTGCCAAGTTCATGTTCAAACGCAGCGTGCTGCTGAATGAACTTTTATTTCAGCTCTTGCTCAGCAGGATCATTCCTCCACCCTCAGGGCCTCTGAGCTGAATCGAATAGCTGCAAACCCTGACACTGTCCTGACCTTTCAAAACTGTCAGGTGTGTAGCGTCTAAGCTCCAAGCCTCCAAGCACCTAAAATGAAAAGGCCAACGTGGGCCACATGTGGCGTAGGACGTGGAGGTCCCAAGGCCTCTCCCCTCTCTTCTCTTACAGGCAAGCTGTTCTGGAGAACAAATCCTTCTTGTTCCCTTGGACCACAATTCCCACAAGCCTTTGCAGACACATTCTAGATTATAGAGCATTGGGACTTTGGTACCGTGACAGACAGAAGCAGAGAATGAACAGCCATGATGGGTCATCAAAATTCTGAGACTAGAGGCTGCTGTCTACAACTGTGTAACCATAAGAGGTCAGTTCCTTCCAACTCTCCCTCCCCAGTGGCTATTAGTTGGCAGGAGCTTCATGACAATTTTCTCTATTTCTGGTTCCTGATTTTTGTTTTATATTACAATATCTGTGGTCAATCATGATGACTTTTGTGATGTATGCCTTTAATTTACTTGTGTACCATTGTATCGGACTCTTTGTGACCCCATTTGGGGTTTTCTTGGCAAAGATACTAGAGTGGTTTGCCATTTCCTTCTCCAGGTCATTTGACAGATGAGGAAACTGAGGCAAATAGGGTTTAAATGACTTGTCCAGGGTCGCATAGCTAGTCTGAGTTCAGATTTGAACTCAGAAACTTCCTGACTCCAGGGCAGGCACGAATAGTAGGCATTTAATAATTGATTCTTTTTTTTTTTTAAACACTGCAAAAAGGTAATCTCTATTTACAGAAGAATGATTTAAAGACATTATGCTTTTCTTTACAAATAGATGTAGAACAAGAATTGTCCCCTTTTAAAAAACTCTTTACGTATTTATCTTCAGGATTTCCACCCTCCACTATTAAAATCCTCCTGATGGGCTGTATCACAGTTGTAAAAATTTGACTTTTTTTTTTTTGTGAGTCAATGAGATTAAATGACTTGCCCAGCTAGTAAGTGTCAAGTATGTGAGGCTGGATTTGAACTCAGGTCCTCCTGACTCCAAGGCTGTTATTCTATCCACTGTGCCACCTACCTGCAGGATATTAGGGTGAGGGCAATGGGGAACACAGGTGACTAGTTTAGTTTACATAGAATTTAAATAAGAGAGGATTAGGCTTCCCCACAATGTTAATTTCCCATCTACCCCTCTGTTGAGCCAAGGGGTATCAATGTTTTTTTTTTCAGCCAAAAACAAGGTTTATTGAAGATTCACCATATTAGCTAGACTCTTAAGTAATCTGAGCATCTGTGGGCTATTGTCTAGATTGTAAGAATCAGAGCATCTTAATGGAGACAAGATGGACTTTATATACAGAAAGATTGTGGGAGGGATCTAGGAGTGGCCAAGTAGTCTATGAGGTAATAGAATTCCAGGGAAATGGAGGCTAGGTGGGACCAAGGGTGGGAAGTGGCCTGGAGCCATAGAGAGGCAAGACAATTGGAGGGGAGATTGGGTGTAGCCACAATGAAAGGCCAGTTGATGGGATTATAGCCTCAGGGGAACGCCAGAGATTTGGTCACTGTGGGAAAGTGCAGGGTTTTTCCTTTCTGGGGCCCAGATCCCAAACCCATCATTCCCTACTCAAACAAATGGGACCCAAATTCTTTTGGAGTAAGGGGTGAAGGTCTCGGCTTCTGAAACTGCTTCCTACTGGCAAGGGGCGTAGAGCTGTCCCTGACTCGAGGGGGTCCCAAAGAGGAAGTTGACTGGAAATGAGCACAGGCTGCATCCAGGGAATGATGTAGGGACTGGTATTTGCTGTTACCAACTATAGGTGAATGCCCTGTAGTCTGGAAGACACAAATCTGACAGAAAAGACTGCAGGGCCCAGATATAAAACAGGGACTAGATTTAGGGCCCAAATGAGAGAATAAAAAATCATTAGCTCTATTTTGGATTCAGATAATTCAGTTTTCCAACCATGCAGTAATAAATTCACCTTATAGCCAGACTCAGGAATAGCCAGGTGGGTAACATTCCCTTTCAAAGGAACATAATGGGGAAACTGAGCCAGGAGGATCCCATCTTAGACTGAGGCTAAAATTGCCCTCTCAGCTTTTCCCCATGCTGACTTCCTACCAGTATCACATTCTCTGAGTAGCTTGTGACATATCTCTCAAGATGGTGGATTATTGATTATTGATGGATTATGATCCATCAGACGATTCAAAGTAAAATCCTATGAGCTTTTACCTCAAACAGCAAGTTTCACTAATCACAGCTTAGGAAAAACTTTTCCGGGATTTACATCTCAAACTTAAATTTGTCCTGGTGTAAAAAGCCAATCATTAGAGATTTCTATACACTTGCAAATTCTCAGCAAGCCATACATAACCCAAACAAACTTTTTGGCTAGTTTACACATTAAAACAATAACCAACAATAGCTAAATTATTTCAGCTGTAACCAAACTATGAAAAGTTGCTTGACATAACTGATACAAAAAGTTCACCGATTTGAAACTTGAAACAAACCCATTACCAATCAGGTGACTTCAGTTTTGTTAAATGCATTTCCAAATTACTTTACACAGAGAATCAGCATCTCATCGTTAACAGTTAAAACTACAAATTTAAAAGAGCACGCTTACCCAAGTTCAGTGGCCAGCTTCTTTACTTTGAGCAGGATGTGCTGAACCTGGGTGATGCTTCCAGGCAAAGGTTGCCCCAGAGCCCAAGGCCACTGCCAGTGGGGCCCACTCGGTAGCTGCTGCCCCTCCCCCTTCCTTCCTTTTCCCCAGGTCAGAGAGGGTGAAATCAAAAGTGAGGGGTAAAGTAAAGTAAAGGGTGAAACTCTCTTCTCCTGTGAGAGGGGTTAACAGGTATCCTATTGACTCAAGAGAAGGGAGTGGGAGAAAAGAGTGACCAGCGTTGCAAGGAGAAGTTCTAAACTCCTTAATGATCAATCATAAAACCTCCAGAATCTGTCAAGATATTTTTAGCTGTTCTAACTTTCCCTGTAACCTCCATGAAGGAGGATTCAGAGGTGCAGAGGGAAGGGAGTAAGTAAGCCTTAGGGAACCAAAAAGCAACTGCAGTTTTCCCCAATTCCCTAGCGCCAAGGAAATTAACAGATACATTTACAGGTAGGGCATCTGTCCTTGTCCTCTACGCTGAGGAAGGGGTACCCAGGTCCATGGCCTTGAACCGACCCAGTGGACCGAGAGCCTGAGAGCATCAGGCCTCGTGTGAGACAGCCTCGTAACTGTCTGCCCGAAAAGCACCTCCAAGCCTTGATGCTTGGAGAGCAACCCAAGGGGTATCAATGTTTAGCACTGAGCACTAGCCCTCTCTCCCAGAGCCTAGCGGGTAAAGATTCCAGGAGGTAACCCCGAGGGTTTGGAACATCTTTTTTCTTTGCCATCAGCCTGAGCCCCCATCAGTTGGGTTCTCTCCATTTCGGGGGGACCAGTGACTAGTACACCAGTTCCATTTACCTGCTTAATGTTGGATAGCTTTTTATGAATGGATATTTACCTCAAAAATGTAGCAAGAACAAATAAATGTAGAAACATTTCTCCCAGCACCTCTGGGGCATACTCTCCCCTGTACCACCTCAGTCACTTTGGAGCAGGCTCTAAATTTCACTCCATTCCTATCTAGCATTTGTCTCACCAAGTTCATGTTCAGAAACAGTACGACTGCTGCTGGTTTACCCATGTCAGCTTCTCCTGGCCTGGGTGTCAAGGTCATTCCTGAAGTCTGGTCCTTCCTCTGGAAAGCTCTGGTGCTGGCTGCATCACTCGAGTCTAAGCAGGTTCTCCATCCCTGGCTACAGCCTAGGCCCTGGAACATGGGATGCTGAAGTGCCCTCTGGACCTTTAGAACTCACTAGGTCTTGTGGCTTCACTCCACCTATATTGGCAAAAAACAAAAACAAAAACAAAAACAAACAAATGAAAAGTCCAAGGTCTGAGGCTCAGTTTTTGGAATCCATGGTGGATCAGAGGGTTCTCTCCTTACGGCATGGTCTCTGTCCAGTTGTGCTGAGTGGAATAACCAAATAAAAGAGAAAAAGGACTATGCATTTATATAGCACCTACTATGTGCCAGCCACTGTGCTAAGTGCTTTTAACAAATATTATCTCATTTGATCTTCACAATAACCCTGGGAATTGGGTGCTATTATTATTCCCATTTTATAATTAAGGAAACTGAGGCAGAGAGGAATTAAGGAACTTGTCTAAGGTCACACAGCTAGTAAATGTCTGAGGCTGAATTTGAACTCAGATCTTGAGTCCAGGTCCAGTGCTTTCTTACTTGTGACTGCCACCAGGTGCCTCCAGTGAAAGGAAGAGGAATTAGCCAATGCTGACAAGCAATTTTGGATACCTCTGAAGTCAATCTGAGCCTCACACTCACCGGACTAGCAGTCCAGCACCAATTATGGAATGTTTATACATGCTTCCCACTTTCTCCACTTAGGCTTCATCACAATTCCCAGGATGCAGCTTCCTAGCATCCTTTCCCTCCTCCACTTTGCCTACTAATTTCATTTAAGAACCAGTGGAAATCCTACCTTCTACAGGAAGTCTTCTCCAAACTCTCTTAATTCTAGAGCCTTCTCCCCGTTAATTATCTCTGATTTATCCTGTATATAGTTAGCTTTGTATATATTTATTTGCATGCTGTCTCCCTCATTAGATTGTAAACTCCTTGAGGGCAGGGACTGTCTTTTGCCTCTTTTTTTTGTACCCCCAGCACTTAGCACTGTGCCTGGCACATAGTAGAAAATAAATTTTTATTGACTGATTGCTTCATTTGAGCAAGCTAATGAGATCTATATGCACCAGTCTCCTATTACAAATGCATGATTATATCCTGGAACCATTGGTGATCACCCCAGGGAAAGTGAGCAAGGATTGAGCTCCTAGCTCCTGAATCATCCCAGCTCTTTCTTGTCCTTGGCTTTCTCTTTCCAGCCCTGCCCACTCCTTCCAGGCCTCTTTAGTAAGTCTGAGGAAATCATTAAAGAATTAAAACTTGCCTCTGTTCGGGGTGAGAAACAGGTCATCCTCTTTCATTGTAATTGCAAGACTAGCTCTCCACAGTCCGGGAGGATGGAACTAGGAGCCTTGAGTGGGAATAGCCGGGAGACCCTTTGAGTGTTTGCATAAACGCCCAAACCCTTGGAGCTGTCCTAGTGCTACCTGAGGGGCTGCCCTGGAAGCAGTGGGCTTTCCCTCTTGTAGGTCCCAGCAGCCGTCATTGAGGGGAGAAATCACTGTGGGGAAGGGGCTCACCACTAGCAATAAGTACTGACCTACTGCCACTAACAGGCAGATAAATACAGGCACTTTGGGAGTGGCAGCACCCCACA